AGAAACATTACTAAATGGTGTTAGTGTAAATATGTTGTTTATTAGTAATTGCTCTGCTTTAACGGCGCTTTATATGTGTGTTTGCTTTCTGCTCTTACAAATAAGTACTATACTGACACATTCAATAATGTTAACTTTAGTCCTTAGCACATAAACTGCATAACTGCATAAACCAAAGTAATTATATGCATTTATTAATACAAAATTACACTAGATTGGCATCCTTTGCCATACTGTAGAATGCCGAATGCGGATTATCAAGTAGTTCTGTGGGCGAAGCAAATTCAGTAATTTCACCCTTATTCAGCACAATAACCTTATCGGAGTCTAATATTGTATTCAAACGGTGGGCAATTGTTAGCACAGTGCAATCCTTGAATTCTGAACGAATTGTTTTCTGTGTGTGGTACGCAATGAAAATAAAAAAAGGAAAACATTAATAATTTGTACCGTTCAAATCAACAGATTTCGGCTTACCTGAATTAAGTCATCAGTTTCTAAATCAACAGCGGCTGTCGCTTCGTCCAACACTAATACTTTTGTTTTACGCAATAGCGCACGCGCCAAACAGACAAGCTGCCGCTGTCCTACCGATAAATTTTCACCACCTTCACTAATCTCATGATTCAAGCCGGCGGGTAATGATTTGCACAAACGCTTTCAAATGTGACAGCTCCAGCGCTTTCCACAGTTCATCGTCCGACTTTACTTCGAATGGATCTAAGATTATATGCGCAGTGTTCCGGAGAACAGTACTCGGATCTTGAGGTATAATTGTGAGTCGTGAGCGTAGCATATGCAAACCCAAGGTTGCAATATCAATGCCATCAATGAGAATGCGTCCACCAGCGGCCTCGATAATTCTGTAAGGATAAAAAAAGAAAAATCAATAGAACAAACAACCAAATGCCTCGCACGCTATTGCCCTGCTTTCAGGTTTATTTTCCTATACTGCGGTTTGAGCGAGAGGGCGTGTAAGTTTTTAGGGTCCTGCTTATTGGGAGTGAGTCGCAATTCAGTCGAATTATTTTGTCATTTCACGAACAAACGTTTGCCGTCTTTTTATCAAGCAGTAGAAAGTTTGCAACTAACGCCCAGCCAAACGTTTGGAAGGACACTGGTGGCTCCGCTGGAGAGCGTACGCAAGTGAACGTGGGAGATAAAAAAAAAATGATTGGTACATTTTTAAATAACTCGCTTTATTCTCATTGTAATTTGCAATAATACAAAAAGGATATTCAATGTTATTCTTACAGCGTTGACATTCTAATGTATAGTTAAAAAATTGTACATCTAATTTAGTTCCATGATGCTAAGTATCAGAAGGCCCGTCGCATTAAATTAAGTTGTTAAGATTTTACAAAATTCTTAGTTTTTCTTGTTTGTTTTTTTTTTATTTTTTTTTATCAATAATGAACATTATTAAGGTGTTTATATTTATGTAAATTTCTAAGTTTACAATAGTAATATGCACTCCTGATTCACATGCATGTCTTAGCGATATACATACATTTTCTTTTTGTTTAAATACGAAACATAATTTAAGACAATAAAATAACCGCATTACACTCTTCACACTTATGCTAATACAAAACAAAAAAAATACAAAAAAATGCAAAACAAACTGAAAACTTGTTGGTTAAAAAATTATTACATCATAAACGCATTTGCAAAGTTAACATTAGGCCTTATATATACAGACGAATGAGGCAGCATTAATTTTCTGCCTTTATACATACATACATATCTGCTTCAATGGTGCAACGTGAGGTAGATTTAGAAACTGAAATTTAGCTACATCAGTTATCACAATCGATTATTTGTTTGAAATCGGCTTTTCATTGTAACTCCGTACACTTGAACAAGTAGGAGAAATAAAATATATTAAATTAATTGTAAAAAAAAATTAAAACAGCAAAAAAAAAATGCACATTCGAAACAATGCATACGTTGATAACTCAAGCATTTTACTGTAACTGGCCGTATTTCATTGAGTGTATGTTTGTGATTGTGTTACATTGAACGAAACGTTTGTTTAAGTANATTTGTTTGAAATCGGCTTCTCATTGTAACTCCGTACACTTGAACAAGTAGGAGAAATAAAATATTATATTAAATTAATTGTAAAAAAAAAATTAAAACAGCAAAAAAAAAATGCACATTCGAAACAATGCGTACGTTGATAACTCAAGCATTAACTGTAACTGGCCGTATTTCATTGAGGAGTGTATGTTTGTGATTGTGTTACATTGAACGAAACGTTTGTTTAAGTAGTTATATTTAAGTATGTACATTTAAATGTACATATGTACTATGACAACAGCGCAATACATAATTTAAGATGCAAAAATTATAAAAAACAAAATCGTACAACTAATTATGTGCATGTAACAAAACAAAAAGTAAATAAAAGCAATAAAGCGCAAACATTGACTTTTATGTCTACATAAGTACTCGAAGAAACATTACTAAATGGTGTTAGTGTAAATATGTTGTTTATTAGTAATTGCTCTGCTTTAACGGCGCTTTATATGTGTGTTTGCTTTTGCTCTTACAAATAAGTACTATACTGACACATTCAATAATGTTAACTTTATCCTTAGCACATAAACTGCATAACTGCATAAACCAAAGTAAAATTATATGCATTTATTATTATACAAAATTACACTAGATTGGCATCCTTTGCCATACTGTAGAATGCCGAATGCGGATTATCAAGTAGTTCTGTGGGCGAAGCAAATTCAGTAATTTCACCCTTATTCAGCACAATAACCTTATCGGAGTCTAATATTGTATTCAAACGGTGGGCAATTGTTAGCACAGTGCAATCCTTGAATTCTGAACGAATTGTTTTCTGTGTGTGGTACGCAATGAAAATAAAAAAAGGAAAACATTAATAATTTGTACCGTTCAAATCAACAGATTTCGACTTACCTGAATTAAGTCATCAGTTTCTAAATCGACAGCGGCTGTCGCTTCGTCCAACACTAATACTTTTGTTTTACGCAATAGCGCACGCGCCAAACAGACAAGTTGCCGCTGTCCTACCGATAAATTTTCACCACCTTCACTAATCTCATGATTCAAGCCGGCGGGTAATGATTTGACAAACGCTTTCAAATGTGACAGCTCCAGCGCTTTCCACAGTTCATCGTCCGACTTTACTTCGAATGGATCTAAGTTAATGCGCAGTGTTCCGGAGAACAGTACTGGATCTTGAGGTATAATTGTGAGTCGTGAGCGTAGCATATGCAAACCCAAGGTTGCAATATCAATGCCATCAATGAGAATGCGTCCACCAGCGGCCTCGATAATTCTGTAAGGATAAAAAAAGAAAAATCAATAGAACAAACAACCAAATGCCTCGCACGCTATTGCCCTGCTTTCAGGTTTATTTTCCTATACTGCGGTTTGAGCGAGAGGGCGTGTAAGTTTTTAGGGTCCTGCTTATTGGGAGTGAGTCGCAATTCAGTCGAATTATTTTGTCATTTCACGAACAAACGTTTGCCGTCTTTTTATCAAGCAGTAGAAAGTTTGCAACTAACGCCCAGCCAAACGTTTGGAAGGACACTGGTGGCTCCGCTGGAGAGCGTACGCAAGTGAACGTGGGAGATAAAAATTGAATGCAAGCGTGGCGCCTACCCCGTTGAATAAATAATATTCTAGGAAATCGTCGGGGTGCACCGCGGATTGCTCCGAAGCGCGCCAGTGTACGTCGAGGCAGCGATATCTAATCACTGGCACCGCGCCTTCACACAGGCGGTGAAGTAACTGACATATCGGTGCGGGATGGCTGATGACAGGCCGGGAGCACGATATTTCCTGTTGCCGATATAGGCGAAACCAATTTTTTTTTTTTTGTATAGTGCGGACATATAATAGGAGTCACTAGAACCACCCAATAGGCCGGCGATGATAATGCGATGGTAGCAATGCATTTGTTCAAAGGCACATCATCCGACCACCAGTACTGGTATCCTTTTCTTTCAACTACCCATCGCCTTCGTTAAATATTGCGAAAACATTCGACATTGGACTTGTCCCCTGCAAGGGATTCTGGAAGGAACTCTCCATTGTTCTCTAGAAGGCAGAATGATGTCACATGTTTAACTACAAAATAGACTTCTGGCAAAGTTGATTATTTGGAGCCCCTACTGGGAAATTTGTCCTAATAATCATCTAAAACTACACATTTAGCCCGCCTAGCGCTGAGGACATCGATTCTATGCTCCTACACCATCAAACTAAACCCGCTAGTTAATGTTATTAAAACCGATTATGCCAAAAGTACAAAGCTGCTTTCAGAGCTAAGGTTTTGTTAAAGAATTTCCGAATTTTCTAAAAACTTCAGCTTCACACGAATCTTCCACCTCGCTTTCACGATTAAAATGCATGTATTATAGTATGAAAATCCGGCATAATGATCGTTTTAATGCCTGGAGGAGTGCAATGGTGTATAGTCGTTGTTCTGGGTTGCAACGTGCGCGCAACGCATGCGCGAAATGCGGTAACCAATCCGAGTAGAGCCTTGGGTCATGGAAGAAAAAGAGGGAGCTTCGGTGATGCCACGCCGACTTATTCGGTTTAGGGGCTCGCTGAAGTCTGCAGGGTCTGTTCATCAGTATGTGCGACTGTATGTGTTTTAAATTTTTTTTTTTTCCTTGTTGCACGGTGTTAATAAATAATAATTTCTTTTTATAAAATTAATACCCTTTTTAGTCCGCAAAACTTAAAATTTTATTTTTTATTTTTTATTTTTGCTTTACTCACCTGAACAGAGACAGCGTCAAACTCGATTTGCCAGCACCTGTACGACCCACAATACCGACTTTCTCACCACCAGCAATGGTAAAGCTAACGCCATGCAAAACCAAATCCAAACCCTCACGATAGCGTACTTTGAAATTATCAAACACAACTTGACCCTCCACTGGCCAATCACGTGGCACTTTCGAGTTCTCCAGCTCCCAAGGCGCTTCTTGTTTGGTTTCACCATACTCCTTAATACGTTCCACAGCCACAATATTTGTCTCAATATCGGATGTCATACGCACCAACCAATTGAGTGTTTGTGTCACTTGCAAGGCATAACTGACGGATAGACCAACTAGACCGGGATTCGATTGGCCACCCAATACGGCGAATAAAGCAGCGAATAGAATGATTAAATTGCCAACCATTTCCAGGCGTATGGCAAGCCAACGATTCGCTATCAATGATGGATATTTGCAGACCTGATTTTTGTCCACACGATTATCGGATTCATCGATAAAGCTAAAAAAAAAATGGGTGGATGAAGAATTAATTTCTTAGAGCAAGTGTTCATATTTTTTGGTATATTTACTTACCGATCTTGCACCATGTAGGCGCGTATGGTTGTCACACCTGTAATTGTTTCGCTGAAATGTGTATAAATTGGCGAACGCGAGACTGATTCCAAACGCATCAGTTGGCGTGATGTGGCGACATAGAAGCGTTGCGCAAAGTAATACAGCAATGCAATGGGCACAATGACCGCCAAGAAAATCGGCGTGGACATGCTTATGACCACAATGGTGGCTAAGACCTTTACGCAGCGTTTGAGTAATAAAATGCAGCGCAAATTTATAGAAATTAAAGGATAGACAATAATAAAGAAATACATATGTTAATAAAGTTTTAGGAAAATATGGTTTCAAAAATATGTTAGAATTTTAAAAATGATGTTAACAATGAACGAAATTATAGTTATAAATTGTGGATTGTTTAGTAAATAAGAGAAAAATGCCATTACTTGATTTAATAATTCTCGCGTAAACATAAACAAAAATTTTGTTTTGATTAATTTATACATATTTTTCGTTAATGCGCTTGTTTTTTTGTTTGCACAACTAGATAATAAAAATGTATGAATAGGTAACAAAAATAAAAATGACATGAAATTGTAAGTCTGGCTATTGATGAAGTATCGAGGTTTTGGCATTCAAATTGCCTTCGTTTTTTTTAGTTTAAATTTTTTGCTTTACAATTTCGAAAAGGTGTAGCAATCTGAGAGAAATCTAAAATTGCTTATATAGCACACAACGATTAATATTTACATTACCTAAACACAGGTTTTTTTAACCAACGCTGTAGGTATAATTTGGAAAATGTTTCAAAGAATATGGAGGAAAAAAATAAAGAAAAGGACCTTACTTCAAGGTTTAGACCTAACTTGGCAGCTCTGCACATACATATGCACGTAATAATAACATGCAGCAAAGTAAAAAACAAAAAAACATTGTATGCAACTTATGATAAAACATACCTAATATAGTTCTTCATACATATAAACTAAAACTAAGTATAATACCTTCAGAACCCGTCAAATTTTAAACCTTGCACTTGCAAAGACCTTAACAAAAACATTACAAAACATTACCAGGTCCTAATAGATTTTTTAACAATGACGCCTAAGGTTTTATTGTAGTAATGCTGGATTTCCACTGAACATTAAATGATAAACTTGGGCATTAAAAATTTTTTGTGTTATTACGTTAATGTTGCCCTAATACCGGATATCCACTAGGCATTAAATGACAGAAATTTTAATGACAAACATGGGCATTAAAAAATATTCTTGTCATTACTTAAAAAAATAGTCATTAAATTCGTTTCCACATGACATTTTTTAAATGCCTCCCATTTCTTGTCATTTCAATGCCTAGTGGAAATGCGGCATAATCATGTCAATGCGTTAAAATAATAGTCATTAAGTTCATTTCCACATGGCATTTTTTTTAAATTCCACCAATTTTTTATAATTTCAATGCCTAGTAGAGTAGTAGTTGACACGACTAATTTCTAATGTTGAACTTTGTAATTACAATTTTTGCCATTTAATGCCTGGTGGAAATCCAGCATTACGTTGAGAAAAATTGTCATTAAATTTATTTCCTCACGACAATTTTTAAACGGCACATATTTTTCGTCGTCATTTCAATGCCTAGTGGAAATTCGCCATTCGAGTTTCATCCACATGGCATTTTTTAAATGGCACACATTTGTTTGTCATTTCAATGCCGATTTTCCTACGTAATGACGTCAAAAAATTATATGGCCTAAAAAAATTCCCACAACTGATTGTGGCACAACCAGTGACTACCGGTTCTTTTATGATTGTTCCGTATAATCAAAATCTGTTCTATTGGCTCTATTTTTTTTAGATATTTGCCAAAAAACGGATTTGTGCATTTTTTTCAACTTGTGTAGGATGATATATCGGTGGAATATAATCTTTTGACCTTTTGGTCATACACCCCATTATACACATTCGATGAAGATTAAATTACACCTTTAATCAAATCTGAACTTGTCTTTTATGTTTCCGTTGTTGACATTGAGAACATTTTGAAAAAATTAGTATGGATGTGATAAAAAAAAATAAGAGGATATTTCAGATTGCATTCGCCACATTTTTTTATTAAGAAAAAAAATACTTTTGTGGCTCTTTTTTATTTTGTGGTATTAGGGCAACATTTAAGCTTTATTTTTCTGCTGTTTTGAAAACTCCTCGAAAAATGTGAAAAATCAGTTGTTTTGTTGTTTTTTTTAATCCGAAATATCTCGAAAACTAGAGTCAGTTGAATAATTAAAGTAACAGGATTCCTAACCTATGACAAACAATTTATTAGTACTTATGGATGTATATGTATACGTGTTTATACGAGGCCTGCTCCATATACATAGATACATATATATTTTGCCTAAAAGATTTTCTAATTTGATGTCACTATTGCAAAACCTGATATTTTTCGCCACACTCGCACTCAAAACGTTTTGGCATGCCGACATTTGTGTGTTTCAAAGAGTCTTGAAAAACTAAAACTTTTCGTGCGTTTAAATCGAAAACAGTACTTCGATTGACTTGAATACCAAATTCGACCTTGGGCAATTTGCTCCCACACTTGTTAGTTGTTCTGCGTCATATAAAAGGACGGGCATGATGAGAGATTTTTAGAGCGTGATTTTCGTTCGTCGAGAGAGGGCTCGGCTTTTCAATTGCCTACCGAGCCCAAAGTAGCACCTGTTGGCAAGAGTTATTCTTCGCTTAATCTCCGGGTGGTGTTTTTGCGGGATCCTAGGTAGACAGAGTCCTTCACAACTTCAAAGTTATATCTGCCAACAGTGACGTGTGTCCCGAAACGCGTGGACTCTTTAGGGAGGTATTTTGTTTTGCCCTCCCGCCCACCGCTAGACCAACTTATTTAGCTTCTTTTTCTAAACTGGAAAATGCTGCGGTTACGTCCCTTTGTCTCAGAACGATATCGATATTATCTGCATACGCCAGCACCATCGTTTGTCATAAATGGTGCCGCTGCAATTCAGATTGGCAGCTTGGCAGCCATATACATATACAGTGGTCAAAAAATTATAGCCGAAACCCCTTTTGCCAAGTTCTAACGCATTATTTTTGTTGTTATTGAACTTTTGTTATTTTTTTTTTATAAAAATATAGTTCTTTCTTTAACAAAACCCGTGTAAATCCAAGTTTCCAAATTTGTGCAATATTAAAAAAAAATCAACAAACTTTCGTACAAATTTCGAACTTTTTAAAAATTCTAAAAAATCAATCGAAATTTTTAGCCATTTGAAACTTGTAGTTTAAATATTCTACTAGAATTCAATGGGCTACAAAACTGCATACTCAGAATTTAATTAAAAACCTCGAAATTTTTACGAAAATTTGTTGATTTTTTTTTTTTAATTGCAAATATTATTATATATTTTGTTGTTTGTGTGAAATATTTTATGCTTATCAGTATTTTTCTTTTAATCAAAATATGTTGAAATAAAAGTGAAAGTAAAAAAAAATTTTGCCAGAACCCGATTCGATTCGATTTGAGACAAACATTGACAAAACTGGCTGATGTATGGTGTGGTTTCAGTATAAGCAATAATGCTTGGTCTTCCTCTGGTACCAATTCTGAATAGTCCACAGCCATTTGTTTGCCAGACGGTCTTTGGTAAAATTCGTAAAACGAGGAAATATAGCTCGCTCTTCCCCAAGACACGCCCTGCGAGCCTTTAAACATCAAACTGTTGGGTCATCTGCGGTACAGCTCTAATTTGCCACCAAATGACGTTTTCGACGTTTTTTGAATACGTAGTTCAAAGCCTTTGTTTTGAAGAATATTTTGAAAAAACTAAAACCAATTTGGAGTGTAAAAATTCGTAAATTCTTAGGCGAAATACATATGGAGCAGCCCTCATACTACGCACACTTTTGTTTTTAATTCTCAAATACGTAATCAACAAGCAAATACGAAACCATTGCAAACTGTTCAAATTCGAACTGATTTAGTGTTTTTTTATTTTTATTTTTATTATTTAACTAACTAAATAATGTTTCTTAGTCATACCTGAAAAAAGCACCAAAGGCAATCATCAACTAATTGTGGTAATTTTGTATCAAGGACATCAATATCTTTTGAAAATCTCGACAATATACGACCCAGTGGTGTTGTGTCGAAAAAGCTCAGTTCAACACGTAGTATATTGGTTAAGAGTAACAAATGGATTACAGTTGCCGCTCTCAAAGCACCCAAATAGGGAGCGCAAGTCATTATGTATGATAGTAGTGCTGCAAACAAGTTACAGAGGAAATGAGGGAAGTAGTAGTAGCTGACACATACATAATTTATTTATGAAAAACATTCTTCCGAGAATAAATATGTAGTATATGTAGAGAACAGTAACCGCTAAGTAACTACTACATAGTATGTATAGCATCTCAAATAAGTATATGTACTTTGGAAGTTGACTGAGAAAACGTGTACGTATCACAATAAAATTACCATAACAATTTTTGGATGCAAGTAATGTATATGTCTTTATCAAATTTAGTACTCAAACCGCCAATACATATCTACTGAATTCTCTGATTGTACACTTTTACCACGTTTTTTTTTTTTGTATTCAAGTGAAAGCGAAAAGTTTTGTCTCAAATTGCTACGGATTGAAAATGAGGAAAGTTTTTCTAACGAATACGCTTATATGTACATATGTACATTAGACCGTGCCACCTTGCAAGCAAGCAGAAAAATTTCGCCATACACTCCCCGAGTCTAAATTATTTTTCCACTGCCATTTTAAATTTTTCGGTTACAGCTACATACATCGGACAATAGACTTTTTTCTTACAATGGTTCTTATGGTATAATCGAAGGACTTAACTGGCAAAAGGTTCATGATTTTTGATGAGCTTAATTTACTGACATTAGGGACATACGTTAGGGTGATAGGAATTAAGATCTGGTTAGTAAGAACTAGAACGGAGAACTTGAGGTCAAAAAAATCTTCTCGCGCCAAGAACTTTGACACATCATACTTTAAGATCCGACTGTAAATGCCGGAGATATTTATGACGAAAAATGTAAAAAGGTGAACCCTACGTTCGGCAAAAAAAAAACCGAAATACTTTCCTAGCAAAAGTTCAATAATTTTTGGCAAGCTTTAATTTACTGACATAAGGGAGGGACCATCTGGTCGGCAGATACCAGAACAGGATACTTCAGGCCAATGAACTTTAGAACAAAAAAATTGTCT